GTCAGACTGTCAGATGAAGATCGTTGTCTTAAGAGGTAACAGGAAAGTGGTTTGAAGTCAGGCGGGGGTGTATGGGACGGGATGGCGATGGGAGGGCCGGGGAGGCAGATGAATGGGAAGGCAGGGTGATGGCGGGGGTGCAAGTGGGCTCAAGCCTGTAATCCTAGCACCTTCGGGAGCCAAGGCGGGGAGATCACAAAGGTCAGAAGATCGAGACCATCCCTGGTAACAGGAACCGTCTTCTACTAAAAATACAAGAAAATAAATAATAATAAAATTAGCGGCGTGGTGGCGGCACTGTAGTCCCAGCTACTAGGGAGCTGAGGCAGGAGAATGGCGTGACCCGGGAGGCGGAGCTTGCAGTGAGCCGAGATGGCACCACGGATGCCATCCGAGCCTGGGGGCGACAGAGCAAGCTCGTCTCAAAAAAAAAAAAAAAAAATCAGGTGACGCTATGATAGCAAGTCTTCCTGGAGCGAACCTGCTGCCACTGATGTCGCTCGATGTAATTAAATGGTGCAAACTCGGACTAAAAAGTGATTGATAATCAAATTAGGTTATTTAAAATTGGACATAGAGTGTGTTTTGGGCAAAAGTAAAATATAGCCGTAAGCACAAGATGACTTCATGCCTGGGTGTATAGTTGATGATTCAAGATGAATATGCAGTCCATATTGCATATTCATCAGTGAATATGGATTGAATGGTAGGAGTTATTTGAAGATACGAAGAATGTTTCTTTCTCTGAAGGTAAAAATTCAATTTTGTTTTTTATTGAAATAGACTTACAAGCTTGCAACATTAGGAACGTTATTGATAGGTGTACATGATCGAGCTCTACTGGGGGAGAGTCTGAAAACTCGTGGAGTATGGCTCAGTGTGACCTTTCGTCCCAGCCTGTTGGTCAACTGAATATTTTCTTTAGGAAACAGAAGACATTTAATTAAATGGGCAGTAACTGCATATGAGCTGAGGTTTCTTTCTGGGATGGTGGGAATGTTCTAAAATAAGCTACAAAAGAATACATGGAGAGCTTGCAGTTGAAGCCCGGGGAAGTGATCTACAAGTGCCCGAAGTGCTGCTGTATTAAACCCGAGCGCGCCCACCACTGCAGGTACGTGCGCGGCTGTGTTAAACCCGAGCGCGCCCACCACTGCAGGTACATGGGCCCCGAGCATCTGGGCAGCGCTGCACGGGCCGG